TTGCAACTAATGTGTTTCTATTTCTGAGTTCTGAGGTGCGTATTATTTTGCCAATATTATCCGCAGGAGGTATTGGGAACGCAATACTGAAGCTCAGCATTCCAAAGTTGTGCTAGCTTGATATTACGTGACTGAGATCCTGAGCAAAATGTAAGAAAATTAATTAACCCCAATACATAGTTATGCGTATAAAAAGGACAAAATTTACAAAATAGAAATGCAGACCCTATGGGGCGGGGGAGAGAACTAACGAGGCTACTTTCTAGTAACAAATTTTTGATGAACACAAAAAAGTTCCCAATATTTAGTTTAAGATGTATTGCAGAACCACTAAATACATCGGAAAAGAGACGCCGTTTGTTGTATTGCTGATGAGGGTAGGTGAGAGAATTGCATTACATTAAAATAAAAGATGTCGTGATAAATTTAAAATCACTTAGGAAAGTACCGGCGTAGTAAAAATTAAGAAAAACTAACATAAGCAAGTTCTCTATGTCAACATATGCAGTCCAATAAAATAATCACATACACCTATCCCATTCTCCGTATACTGAAGATGGCGTTCGTCGTAGCAGCATTTGCGGAACCACCCCCTTCTCACATACCGCGAGTGAGTCGCGATTAGAACCTATCTTGCGACGTGTAATAGCTCTGTCCGCGGTTCGCACGAGTTTCGACGGTTGCGCGCCCGGTGCACTCTCTGCTGCATGAATGCAGTTCAGTCGAGCCATGCCGCGCACTGTTTTCCGTCCTGCCCGCGCGAACTATTGCGGTCGTATAGATTCCCGTCTCCCTGCATCGTGCCCTGCCCTTGACGGGGTCCTCCGGTTGAGCTGGCAGCGCGCTCTTTATTCTTTCAGCGGGTCCATGTGGCTTGGTTGCTCGACTGGGGTAGCGCGGTATATTCTGCGCTCTGTAGTGGCCAGGGCTCGTTCTTGGTTCTTCGTGCGAACTGCAGTAGGTAACGAAAAAAAAGAATTCTAAACAGCAAACATTATCACATCTCCGTTCGATGACTTAGCACTCAAACTCTCACCCTCTCTGCCGCTATCTTTTCCATAATACTATATCTCTATATATATAATTCTTGTTTTATCTACCCCGAGAGAAATTTAGTTTGTTTAGACATGCACTAAAACATGTGTTAACTTAAGCGATCATTTATGGAATATCATTTAGTTCCTTGTAGTAAATTAATTAGATGTTAGTTTAGATATAACGACTTTGTAGATTGTCTGATACTAGTATTCTATATATCTATGAACAAATAATTGTCCATCCACGGTCTGCTTGTTTTACGTAGATAAGATCTAGTCGCTGTTATCTACTTTATCATGTCACAGTGCTACGAGCGTGCTTAGTGAGCGCGTCAGGTTCTTAGGCCTAGTCTGACTAAGTTGAAAAGTTCATTGAGCCCGTGGTGTAGTGTGAGAATTCAAAGCTCTATGTTGTAGATTATATGCTATATAAGCGAGTTTAGTATTTTAGTTATTTTATGAATAGATTAGCATGGTTATATTCTACACAAAGGTAGAAATATGTCGGCAGCCTATTCCTTTCCGACAATCTGTTCGCTTTAGCTGACGCCGTCAGTAATCGAGGATTAAGGACTTACAATCCAACGGCCTGAGGATGGGGATCTGCTCTTTAACCCGATTGTTACCTGCCTTACGATGGTATGATGATAGAGAAGTTTCCGCTTATTGTTTTCGTTTATTATTTCACTGCTGCAATTTGTTTGGTAAGACAGTACTCAATTGGTATGAATTAGTCAAGGGGGCACACATTCCTGCTATTAGTTGTCCGCGATAGGGACTAGTATAATACAAACCTAAACCATCATTAAGATCTGGATCAAATCTAGTAGCAGTATTAAAAGCCTAGTGCAATAATATATGTGTTAACTATATCAATTAATAAATACAGAATCGTGCACGAGAACCGTATCATGCGGCTTCATAGTCTAACAAAAATAAAACGCGCAACCCCCAGTCAATATCCGCTCCATTTCTGGAAACCAACGCCGCACGAGTACTACCCTTAAATAAATAACAATTCTGCAGAATAAGATCGTCAGCTCCGACTGTCTATTAATGAGCATCACCTAAGCAATATCAAAAACCTGAATATATCAGCAAAAACGATTAATATAAATCTACGATGAGGTAAATGGCTAGATGTAATTGTACAATGTCGACCAATCTCTGAGTATGCGGTTACTGAGTCCCTACCTCGGTGTATGTTGATTTGTGGTATCGTCTTTCGAGCCATCTACCAGTAATATCATGCTAACAGGTTTAACTTCTTAACGTTCAATCCAAGTAATTAGATTGCTATATGACTTCGACCTCATAGCCCCTTAAACTAACAAATAAATTATATAATTAAAGGATACTAAGACTCAAAATTATCTCTTCCATCATCACATCAGTTTATTTGGTTTGGTAGTTGTAGTATAAACAAAGTTCATATCTTACGTCATATACGAAATTATTAGTCTGATAGATAATCTAAGTTCACGTTCCCTAAAGACTTCCATGCTTCATAGTTATTTATTCCTGTTACCACTTTCTATCCTTCGCTCCCTTAAAAGTTTCAGCACACTAAACCCCTCCCCTTTTCTAATTAGTTTGCGACAAACAATCACAAAAAGTAATCGTACTACTATATTTCTTTCTCAGATAAGTTAAATGTATAATCACAATCTCCTAATAAAAATGGTAACACTTCGATATTAACATCCCTAAACCGAATGTTTAAAATGTTGTATTTGTACAACAGCTTGAGAGGCTAGAAGGTAAATACGACCTAGCACGAATTAAATTAATGAAATTTTTCTCCACTATCGATCACCACTGGGAGCAATAAACCAGCGGTTCCTGTCCGTACTGTGAAGAAAATTAAAGATTATCTCCGGCCATGGCCAAAGCGCTCCATGTTAGACCGTGAATCAAAAATTAGAAATATTTTCCGCATTTTTCGGACGCATGTTCTTAAAGTTCTATATGACTGTCAGCAAGTCCTCTATACCAAAAGATGCTGCATGGTTACGCGAGTGAGATTGATAATTTTGCCGTGATGAATTAAACATTCTGACCCACACGTGGGTGCTTGCATGAGCAGCTTAAAACCAGATGCGGGGGTTAGCGCTTTCGTGGAACGGCTACCCACGGTACAATTACTTATTCAACTACTTCGTGAGAAGGTTCAGGTCGTTCTTACAGTTAGGACGATTAACACAGTGGGAAACAACAGCGTTACTGAATCCCACATCTTTGTAGGACGGAACGAAAGTCACAGATGCCTGAATTGCAGCTCCAGATTGATAAAGAGAATTTGCAAGAAAGTGCATTACGTAATACTGTTTATACAGAAATTTTTCGTCTTTTTTTATTCAAATCGAATATGCGCGGGAGAACTACTAAGATTCCTCAGCAGATTGATAGCAGGCACTCCGAAGCGATTTTTCCAGTCTTTTTACTGTATTTTTAATTATTACTGGGCTCAAAAACTAGCATACGTTTTATACCAGATATTTGTCTTGCTGTTCATATTTCTTTAGCTGTGTTACTAGCCATCTGATCTCGTGATTCGAGGGCTTTCGATAGACATTAAGAATTTACAATACTGGCTACTTTACTTCTGTACGCGATTTAAAAAGTATCACACAAGCAAGTAAGATCGGCATCATAGATGTCTCTCATATAATTGTTGTGCATGTGCTGTGCTTCCCACAGAAACGCACAAAATATCTAGTTTATTAGCCTTTTGGAAATACTTTTTAAGGCGCTGGAGACAATTGTTTCTTATACATTCTTGCAAATAACGCTCATTACTAACTGTATTCAGAATTCAATTTAATACGTATTATACGATATGAGTAAAAATATTCCAGTGCTCCAGGAAACGTGTACAGACTACAGTTCTTCACCATACTTCACCATGTTTTTAATTGTTTTTAAGGTAAATAAATAGGTTTAACAAAATTAAAGATTATGCAAAAGTTTCCATTATTTCCATTTTCCATTAATTATTTTTTTTAATTCTATAATCAGTTAGATAACTAAATGTTAAGGAATGGAGTTTAATATTTGATCTCAACTCTTTCCTTATCTATATATCTGATCTGTTCTCTTTGGGTATTTTGTCTTTTTGTGTTAGAATATTGATCTCTTATTTTATTTTAATGATAAGTTTTGAATATTATACTTTTATACTTGTTGCAATACTAATTTAGACAATCAATATGATACAGGAAATATTAGTTATGATAATAAACATTTATTTATAAATAAAAATAATATACTATTGCTATATTAACTATCAAACTTAATATTATGAGTATAATAATAATAATAACAATAATATTAGTATGGTTAATATTAATATGTAATGATTAAAGAGTTTGCTGTCATGTTCATATAAACTGGTGATTAATTGATAATAATTCATTTTAAATGAAGTTGTTTCATCAATTGGCAACATGTACTGAAAATATAAGAGTGTACGCAAGGCTAAATTAAATATGAATTTTATTTACAGCTTCATTAATCGCATACTTTTCATAGATTAAGATTATATTAAGAATAGATTGATATGGGATTAGATTAAGATCAATTAACCCTCTACACACATTTTTCAGACTCAGTTCTTTGTTTTAAAAGCTCTAAACGCGTCTGAAGTGTCTCGTAACTTGAAAATGTCTAAATATATTAATGTTTGTCCACAGAATCCTATAATTTGAAAATCCGCCGAATTTTAATGGACGTGTTGCCAACATTCGTTAACTAAACTTCCAGTTACGAGTAAAATTTTCGATGAGACTAAATTTCAAATGCGGTAAGAGTGGCTTCTCACACGTTTTAACAAATGAATCTGTGGAATGTAGTTATTAAGCAAGAACTTTGAAAAAAAAATTGTGATCAAGATTTATTTTAAAGAAATGAAATATAATATAGTGTATATTACTAATATGCCCCTATTTTGCGAAAGGATATAAAATGTGTCTGCGCAATGGTGGCACCCTTGGAACGTTCCTTCATAGGTTGAGAATGGGAAGGGTTGGTCTCTTTAATTGTGAGTGAGAAGCTAGACGAAACACACATTGTGAAAAGTAAAATTTTATTTTAGTTACCAATACTTACCATGGAAGGTACCGGCTTGTGGACGTGGGTAAGTATAAGCAACTGTTAAGGAATGCTTTGCCTCGAGAAACAAAATGTTGGAGAGCTTAACAATTTTTTGATCAAAACTGAAAATTTTGTATCTTCGTGTGAAAGGTGCAAACTCTTGACTTTCAATGTTTTAATTACAGTATGGTGCTCTTTAACAGTGGTAGTTCTTTTATTAAGTGACCCACAGTGTTTAGTGATGTTTGTGAATTGCACATAGGATTGGAGCTGGGCCATACTGCTGCCATACTGATACCAGAAATATCTGCACGAATTAAACTTTGCAGTGTTCTCAATCTGAGCAAATCTAGCAAGACTTGCAATTCCTTGAGTGATTGAAATTTTCATTGAAAACTCTCCAGAAGTTCTAATAAAATTTATATAATGAATCACTTAAATGTTCGACAGGCCGTTCATAAAGTGCAAATGCTTTCATAAGCTTTGTCCCCGCCGCATTGTAACGCCAATTTACTTACAAGGCAAGTTTTCTCGCTTTGCTCGCCCGCATCCAAGTCACGGCGAGGCTCGGGCCTTGTCTCTCCATCCTTGTCTATCCAACGCATAATTACCAATTCACTTTTATAAGACATCACTTTTCAAGAAAGCCTCCAGGATTCTAACTGCATACTTAACGCCGAAACTGCGCGAAGTGTCGGTTTAACTTCCTTAGGTTATACCGTATACTACATTTCAGCCTTTCATTGAAATTAACTGAGAATGCCCGTAAAACGTGTTATTAATGTTCTTGACTTTTCAAACAGAACTGATAGTTTTGGTAATTCTTAACCAGCTTTTCGTAACGCGTATGCTTAATGCGTAATGCTTGTGGGGATAAAGTTTGAAAAACTTCCTGAAATCTGAATCTCTCCACATAGTTGAACTCGAACAGGTTTTGTTCAATAAAATACTTGTAGATAGAAACACGAATTCCTGTCCTTCAGGAGTGTCACCTGGCGCAAATAATTGTGTTAACTTGATTCGGTATCGTTATTTTAGAAAGCGAAGTAATCTTTATGAATTAACCAATTACAAAAGCAAAATGGAAAGGCTATTTTTCAGAGGGCGCGCCCTCCCGGACGGAATATTGAAATTATTGTAAAATGGCGGACCATGGCTCTTGCTTGACCTTTCTGAAACATTTAGAACTTTTATACTTGTAATGGGTTGCGTCGTTATCAAGGTCCTTTTTTATTCTGAGGAAAGGGAAATGGAGGAATCAAACAAGTGGTCAGATTTATAGTCGGGTCAACTGGCGTACGTAAAATAGATCTTTGTAGAAAAGTGCTCGAAATTAACCACTTTTGGATGATAAAATATCGAATTTTAGTTTTTATATAGTTTCACCATATCGATTAGGTTTTTCGTAAAGCTTTCTTGATCCTTTGAGCAAATGTTGGAACGGACCCTTGTTTAGCTTCTGGACACTAATCGTTCTAAATTTTCTTTTGGCAAGATGTCAGATTCCTTCACGTACAGCACTAGATAGAATTGCTAAAATGTGTAGTTAATTTGCATTTTCAAATGAGGGCGAATGTTTTTCTATAAATTCTTGCAAACAAATTATAGTAAATGTCTCAAGTACGAGTAGGCATTGTGACAAAATTGGAAGATACAGCGTTCAGTTTGCGGCTTCTGTTTTTTCAGAACGACACGAATATCTTTATCAAATTTGCTTTGAAACTCCCCGACATTTCTGAAAATAATTGAAACTCTGATTACTGTTCGATCTTAGTGGAAGCAACCCTTAGTGTCACTTTGAAGCTGATTTCTCCAAAGTTATGATACATTTAAAATTTTAAAATAAATTTAAAATAAGAAATGCTAAAGTTCTCGTGATAGTTTTGAAGGACATGGTTAGCTAACCAATTAGCTTCGCTATTCCTACACTTGTAGTTAACTTTGCAGCTGTGTCCTTAGCCCCACAGAGGATTAGGTGCATGTATGGATGACCTTTACTTGTGTGTAAACGAAGTAGAGAAAGAAAACGTCAAGGTCTGGAAGCTCAAGCGAAACTAATTTTGATGCAGATTTTAAAGGAGACTAGACATTCCGACTTTCAATGAAAGATGTTAATCACTGTTGGTTCTAGCGAAAATAGGCCATTGATATGGCTCACCGCGAAATGGAGATGGAGAATGTGGAAAAAGCACATGGAGGAAATTGGCTTTTTGCAATAAAGTAAAGTATGTGCAATGTATAAGGTTTCATTCACAATTAAACCAAGTATCAGAAGATCTGCTCTTACCAACCTAAGATCTTGAATAATCAACACAACGGATCTTCAGTGTGCCTGGAAATAATTTTTCATGTAGTTGTATACAGACTGGCATTTTTCTGAATGCGTCCGCAAACCAAACGCATTACAATTTGCACTGCTGTGAGAGTTTTGTTCACGCGTGTCGCCTATCTGTCGCCACGCTGATAACGTCTATGCCTGCTAGCAAGAGTCAGTTTAACGCGCATCGTAATTAACATTGTATCTTATACGAAACGGCTCATGAGCGCCATTGGCGATGTGCGTTTTGCCTACAGCTCAAGGAAGATAACGAGTATTCTAGCTTTCAACGCGTGACGCCCGCTAGACTTCGCGCGTTGGCAACAACGCACGTCGCCAAGAGCGCTTGGGTGCCGTTTGGCACCCAATAGGGTTAATCAACGACGCGCGTTAAGACTCACGCGCGCAGGCACCGACGCAGCTGATGTCCTAAACGAAGCACTTCAACGCAACGCTAGAGTGCAGGGCCCCTGAATAGTCAACAGTTTTTTCATTAAAATAAACCAGTTCCCTCTTGAAATAAACAATTATACCTTATCATTATTAGAAGCAGTCTGACAATGCGTCGTAACTAATAAAAAATACTCTTCCGATAGTGGTGTGGTTCAAAACCACCCAGCCGAAAAGTTCATCTACAGCAGCTTTCTTTCGATAAGTCGGGTAGCTGACAGAGGCCTGGTCACTTATAATACGGAAATATTTACTCATTCTTTATGAAAAATAACTTATCTACTGCAAATGAAAATAATTGCCGTTAATGGAAATCATCTCTTAATCGAGAAGAGCTTCAGGTTTCGCTTAACATATATTTGCATTTTTAGTGAAAGGAAATTGTGTGAATTCATTTCGAATTTTCTCGACAATAAATCTTGGTTTGTGACCAAAAACGAGTCTTAATTGACTAAAAAATATTACTACATAACGTTTGATCCTATTTATTAAATAGCTTTATTTACTTATAAAAAATAGCCCCGAAAGTAATGGTTGGTGGAAAGGAACGCAAGTTTTCATTCTTACTCTTACTTTATTCTAATCTAATTAGAAATGCCACATTTTCAATTATCTTCTCTGCCCCTACTCTACTTTTGAGCCCTCGATATGTAACAGTCCTGTTTTCCATAGTTTCGTGGGGATAATTTAAATTTAAAATAATACCATAAATGCTCACTAAAAATGACAAAATAAGGAAATTGGACTGTCATTCAATAATAAAGGAAAGGACCAAAATTACTAAAGACATCTAACAAACATTTTCTCTCTTAATTTGATTCTTTAAAATGCAGTGATGCAAGGTATTTTTAGATCATTGTTCCCCTTTTTAGAAAGCCTTATTTTCTAAGGTACCTTGAATTGTAATGCTCCCAACATTCTTCAAAAATCTACAATAAAACAAAAATTGTTCCAGGAACAAAGTTCCGCAATCGCAGGTGTAGATATTTTATGCAACTACTTTCTTGATTAATCTTAAATTGTTCCAACGCGCGCGTGTGGTTCCAGCTCCGCTCAAAGGTCAGCCGTCCGCCGCCCATCCACCCGTGCGGGCAACCGCTTCTGGACGCCGCCAGGCGGGGCGACGCTACGGCAGTGCAGGAGTACCTGGAGCGCGGTGCACTGCCCGATCAGGTACGCGTTGGGGGCCATACTCCCCTCCTCAAAAATGTAGAGGTTTTCGCTTGTTACCTCCCTTTATTTGGAAAAATGGATTTAAATATGTAGTTTGGAATTATGTAATTATTTAGCATAGTATCGTATACAGACTACAAAAATAATAAATACAATAACAAATGTTTATTATTTTTAAAAAAATCTGTTACGGCCCAAAAATTGATAGGCTGGATCCGACCCTGTACTTCATCGGTGCACAAGAAGGGGTTCACGATGCGAAAACGGCTGTAAACTGACTGGAGCAGTCTATTTCGCGCCCAAGTCCATAGTGTTCTTCTCTATACCTGCTTTCTTGCGAACAATATTTTTTTACTAGTAAAATGTACATTTTCCGAAAATATTTCTTTGCAAAAATTGCTCTTTTTGAGTTAATTTTCCTCGTGCACTAGAGAGTTGATTTTTGTATTCAAATCAGTTTTGACAGACAAAAAAATTATCATTTAGCAGCATCGAAAACGATATTTCACCTATTAGGTTTGTCGTGTTATTGGAAGGTTTAACTCTCAGCTCCACACTTCCTAAATAAGGAATAAATGAGGGATGCAAATTTTCAGGAGGTTCAATGAAAAAGAATACACACCACCAATCGGTGGACATTTTTAAGTTATTTTCTTTAATTTTTCTACCGGACGGGTTCATTGCTCTAAATATTTTAATTGTCTTGAATACATAGCTTGCTTTTCAGATTTTAAATAAGATTCCGAAATTTAAAAATTTAAGATTCATGTAGATCGAGACTACTTGAGTTGAATATTAACTATACCTTTTGTTCTTAGACATTGTTTCTACGACGAAAAATAAATACTCAAAAATCAAACGTTCTTGGTGGCACAGGTTAATGTTATTAATCGTTATAAAACTCATTAATTCAAATTTTCACCTTGCAAATAAGAGGGCGACGGAAATTTATTTTTCAAAAAATGACTTTTTTTAAAATAACGATCATTAATGGTCGGATAAATTTCGAAAATAGTAGATGTGGGTATGCTAATAATATTGAAATAATATCAAACATGTGTAATCGAAATTATGCGAATGATTGGAGAAGGTATAACTACCTTGGCAAATGTACACTAGCACTTAAATACGCGGAAGTACTCCAAACGATGCATAGCACATCCACTAGCAAAGAGATTCTATACGGGCTTCCGGCAGAAGTGCAACAAAATTAATGTATTTAAGTACAGGACATTTAAATGTTATGCAAGGTTCGTAATTTTTTACTTAACAATGAAATTTTGACCGCGACAGATCCAATTTGCATCACTTTCGGGGACTTAACCACCCTCAATAGCGTGTTAACAGCACGGGGCTACGCCTTTCGGCTCCATCCACAATACTGCTTTATAAGATTCTGGAAAATGTAATATAATATGGATACTGAATAGAACTGTACTGGAGGCGTCCCTAAAGAACTGCAATTTTCATGGTCACTCTTAAAATAACAACCTTATCTTGAATAAGATACGTTGTGGAAATGTTTCATTATGATGAAGCACGTTTGTTCTTTTATATCTCAGCGAAGTGGAGAATTACAATCTCTAGCGGTCGTGCAGTATCTTTAGTGAATGCAAAAGTATGCCTGAACAAAGGTCGGTGTACAATCTCTAACATTACTTTCACTAAAACGTACTCGTATGCATAACCACGAGTTAATTTAACACTTGATTACTAACCTACGAAACTTTTAAAGTTGCCGAAGTTTACAGTTTTTCTCTTATAATCCTCATCAACGTCATCAAATTATATTTTTTGAACTCTTGCTGTTTTGCTAATACTTCATCATTCGGGCGATTCAGGTCACTTTTCTGAGAAGTCATCCTGTGTAATAATTGAAAACATAAACTAAGTAAATACGGTTTTATATTTGAGGATAATGTGCCAGAATTTCAGAGGTAAATATCATTTGTAGCAAACTAGAAACACTAGTAATTGTTTTACCATATAGAATGAGAATAATTAGTACAATTTTACAAAAAGGACTGTAAGAACCATAGGTTGATTAAAAACTACTCATGAATTTGCTGTCATATCTGAGATATGCATTGGCCGTTGACCGTGGTGCCCTTCACTTCTAAAGGACACTATGCTAATGTGTAATCGCTCTTCGCGATTTAAGAAGATAGGTGGAGAGCGTAACGCATCTCTATAGGCGCCCTTAAAATTAAAGAAATCTTAGTTAAAAAAATTATAGAGGGGCCTTTACCGGGGAAGTCACTTAAGAATGTGCTTCCGAAGAGGCTGCAAATCTTTTGTTGCCAAGAACTCTTCGTTGATGTCTTTCAATCTATACTGTTTAGAGAAAATCATCTCGACAAGTTTTATAAATTTAATCTTCAATTGCATGCCATTGTTTGTTAGGTTTTAAAATTCCTTTCTCATCCAGACGCCAACTATTTGTTTTATAAATGTTCGACTGTTTTTAATGAAATTCTTCCCGAATAAAATGTTTACATTCTACTTATAATTAATTTCCAATTGTCCAAATTAGTTGTTTCGTAAATAAAGTTACGAGCGTACATTGTAAGTATGAGAAGTGCTTCAGCATAGTGGCGGAACAATTCGCCAAACTAAAAATAAAAAATACAGTTAAGAGTAGGGGAAGGGTTCGAGTTGGTGCGCGGTTCATGTGCGCTTCTGCAGGTGCGGACGCAGCGGCATGAAACGGCGCTGTTCGTGGCGGTGAGCGATGGTCACAGGGCGGTGGTGGACGTGCTGCTCGCCGCGGGGGCGGACCCGGCCGCCGAGGACTACAGGGGCGCCAGCCCGCTCACCCAGGCCGCCGCCTATGGGCGCGTGGACATCATCGAGAAGATCGCCCGGGCATGCCCCAGAGCGGTGAGTGACGGAAAGAACTTAATCTTAGAGTAAGCATAGAAGTAATTCTTTGATTATTGTACCTCAGCTTCTTCGCCAATAAATCTCCCCCTCCATATCGATCAGGTTTTACGTAGTTTCATTGATTCTTTGATTAACTGACGATATGGCCACTTCTTTAGCTTAACATAAATGTAACTGCATTAACTGTGCAGGTTTCCTTGTGTTCAGGGATATAGAAATAGAAATTCAAATTAACGTTCTCTGTGTTCTCGTAACAATAAGTAGATTTCTTCACAAAAGGCTCAGTGGAAGATCTCCCAAAATCTGTAGCTTTTTTTTTTTTTGTCCCTTCTTCGTAAATAATTTTTGTTACGCGTAAAGTATTTTCGTATCAATTTTTGCCAAAAACTAAGTTTTCATCTGTATTCATAAGAAGTTGCATTCAGTTGAATATATCACAATACAAATCAATGTATATCGGTTCAGGTAGAGATCTCCGAATTTGAGTCGACATGCACAGAATTCACTTTTTCACTAGGTCAGTTTTTAATTGTTGCATAACGTTAAGTGAATAAATAAAAGCAAGAAAGGACAAGGAGCTGGACATTTGTTCAGCCAGCAATGCTATAGGTCGTACATGAAAATGTAAATACAAACTAAAACAAAAAGGTGTGGAAGAAATCAATGGAACAGGATTTCCATGCTTTGAACACTTCGTCGATCCAAAAACACAAAATAATTTTTAAGTTTACTTTTTTCTTGTTAGGATCTTAGACCTCAAAGAAAGCTCAAAATAAATTACAGAAGAGTCGAAATGAACTTGAAACGGAAATTTTAAAGAATCCAAGACGAGAAGATTCTTTAATCCTCCAAACATAAGCTAAACATTCTGCTCAAAAGCGAAGTCGAATAAGAGATGAATTTTGAAACAATTCTACTTAATTGGTTTTAGGGGCTGGTGTTTGAACGGTTAGTATTGCTCTACCACATAATCTTTTGACAGCGTAATCATAATTGAAATACTGTAGTACTACCGGGAAGTCATAACCTTAAACCTTCATAACCTCAAATCTGAACTATTGTACGAGAGTCGGAAGAAATGGATCCAGCGCGGGGTGGGGGAAATAAGGATATCCCTCCCAAAAACCAGTATTTTTATTTACTAAAGTTATTGAAAACGGTTACCACACATGGATTGTTTAATATTTCAAATGAACTTTCACATTATAAAGAGTTCTCCATTTTATAAGCTAAATTTTTTTTAAAAATATTTTTAATTTTATAAATGCGTGGGGTTTAGAGCTGAATTTGCATTTTGCCCATTGAGATACATTCATAGATCGGATCCAGAAAACAATTGCATGGCTGTCAGACGTCGCGTCCTAAACACAAAAGCCAACGTTTCGGCAGCCATTCCGCGACCTTCCTCAGGTCTAAATGTAGATTGCAGAACGGTGGCACGTTGGCACTAATGCATAACGTTGGCACTAATGCATAGGTCGCGGTTTCTCTCGGACAGTAAAAAGTATGAAAATATAAAGGTGGTGTTCGCAATGCAAACTTAAACGTAAGGTAATGCTGTAAACGTAATAGTAGAATTAACACGTAAAAACTAGCATTCACAACGACGAATGTAAGCTAGAACGTACGTTTTGCCTGAAACAATCAGTTCAACGCATTGAATGGTGATGGATTAGTTTCTAGCCTGATGGAAAGATCTTTCCACCATGGTTTCTTTCTAGCCTTTTTTCTTAGACTTTCCTATAGATTTGTCTTTATGTACATGTGATTAGCTGTTGTATTAAGGTTTGCATTTCCTTTATTTTATAAATGAGTCTCTTGTACCAAATTCGAGTAATTCGTCGAACATAATTATTTTGTTAGTCACAAGACGAATGGCCCAAATTTTTACTTTGAATTCACTACACGCATCAAAACAGTTTGCGAACTGTACTCTACACTGCAATAATGAAATCCATGAAATGGAATCCAAAGCTCTCTCAAAGAATGCTTCTGGGGGGGTCTCCGATACTGGGGGGGGGGGGATAGAAGGGATTTGTGGCGCGTGAAAGTAGCGCATTGTTTGGACGCCGGTGCCTAGCCTGGAAAGCTAGAAGCTTTGAGCTGACAGTGCGGCTCAACCCAGACATCGAACGGAGAGGTTGCCGTGAGGGCTAACTACGTTCCGCTGGGTTCCGGATCCAGACCAAGGGTGGTCGGGCGCCTTCCCACGCCCCCACGGCAGCGCGCGTACGTCAATCAGCAGGGCTCTTCGCCGACCCTCCGGCGACGGACACGGGGCCGCAGCAGGTATAAACAGCAGCTCTGCGCTGCGGCCGTGGCGCAGTGGGAAGGCTCCCATTTAAAAGCTGTATTCTGCTAGGGTCCTTCTTGTACGTGTGCGGGGGGTACGTCAGCGGATGGAGGCATTGCCCAGGTGTCCGCCCGGGGATGATTTCCCCCTGGTAAAGTTTGAGGTTTTAGTGAGGTGCGAGGTAAGGGCACTGCAGTCCACTTCTGTGACGCGCTGTACGCTTTTTCCAGTTCCACACCAAATCGGCGGCGCTGGGTCTGCGGCGCGCCGCGCTCAACGGCTGCAAGCCGGCGGTGCGTGCGATGCTGGACGGGGGCGTGCCCGCCAACGCCCGGCCGCGCGGCCTGGCGCCCGCGCTGCTCGCCGCCGCAGTCTCCGACGTGGCGTGCGTGGCCGAGCTGCTGGCGTCGGGCGCCGACCACGAGGAGCGCGATCGCGACGGGCTGACGGCGTTGCACTGGGCGGTGCGAGGCAACCACGAGCGGTCGGTGCGGCTGCTGCTGCTGTGCGGCGCGGACCGCAACGCCAAGGACAAGTTCGGGCGCGTGCCGGCCGACGAGGCGTGGACGGAGAGCATGCGCGAGCTGCTGCGGCCGGTGGTGCGAGAGCCCTGCAGCAGGACGACAGAGGCGAAGACGCGGGCTGCGGCGTCGGGGGGCGGCAGGCGGCCTCGCCACACAGGCGATGCGCCCTCAGCTAGCGCGCAAGGACTGCCGCCAATCGAATCGACGCGACTCGGCCAAGGACAGGATTCTCTAAATTTTAGATTTTAAGCGGGAGTTTAATTGATAAAATTGTTTATCATGTCAAATGCGTGTGGTAATATTGCACACTAGCAGATATTAAAATGTCTTATTTCAAACATTCTTAACAAGTATCTTTAATTTTTTTTACAGTATTAGAATACCCATTTTAAGATTGTCGTGAAAGTAATGTCTTAAATGTGCATCTTGTAGGAAGCCGATAGTGGTATTGAATTGTAGTAATGAAGTGTTAAGACATGTGTATAGTGTGAAAGGAAACTCAAAGCAGGAGCGTTTTTGTGGATAAAGATTTTGGTTTGACAATTACTTGGAGTATGGCATCGAAAATTAGCATGTAGTCTTAAATCATAAATTTTCAGCTTCTTAAAATTATGTAGTAATTTTTTTAGAAATATATGCTTATTCTTATGAAACTATTAGTTACAATTTCTATGCGTATTTCATAGATATCCTTTCAAGAATTCCTGTTATTTTCCCCAATATTGTTTACATTAATTTCACACAATTCACGGCCTCAAGACCACAGCAATCTTACTAATTAGGAAACATCGCTGGCAGTTTGGCAAGTGAACGACAACCAATGAAGGGTAGGTTCTGAAAGAAACTTGCTTAATTATAAAAATAGCTGGTTCAAGATAATGGGTGAATTAGTATTTTAGTCATTACTAGAATTACAAGGAGCATTTTAACCCTTTCATTAAGAGTTGAAGCTACATAGGGTGGGCTACATAGGGTGGGCTACATAGGGTGGGCTACACTAGGGTAGCAACTGGATTCTCAAGTAGAGGGAGCAAGCTGGTAGTGGTGGGGGGAGAGTCAGGAAGCGACGCTCGCTCGCAAGTCTAGTTCGTCTGCCCAAATCGAAGACATTAGCGCACTGCAAGCAAAACAAAAAAAACTATCGCACTGCACGCCTTAGGGAAATTACTTTGACATTAACTTGCTTTAGCGTTTTCGTCCGGTGGTGAACCAAATTTACCTGATGACCCGGCTCTATCCTCTACACATTTTCAACAAACGCTAATACCTGTTTCCTCACTATCGCAAATTGCATCAATGTCATTGTCATTACTACCGGTTTGGCAGTTTACGTTAAAAATACATTTTTTATATGGTGAATTAAATAGATGTTCTGCAAAATACTCATTGAAACCGTCGAGAGCAGATTTCAAGCTGCCTCTTCTTTATTCGGAGTTGAAGATTAGATTATCCCGATTCAAAAGAATTCTTCCCTCTCATTTCAGAAAATATTTTCGTAACTCCGATTGCAGCAGTGAACTGATTTAACATTTTAAAACCTTTATTTTGCTTCTTTTCATAAATTGAAGTTCTTATGCAACGACTGACTTTTGCGTCTGACAGTAACGGGCTTCCTTATGCAACTCTCTCTGAACCACACACATTGCAATCACAAACAGAACTTTACCAACCACGTACAAATGCTTCACTCGAGTAGGAAACGCTTGCACCTCGCAGATACGAAAAGTCACGGTCAATGTTAACGCAACTGGAGTATGTTGACACACGTGCTGGGGAGAGACGCCCCCCTCCCCGCCTAAACCGATAAGTTTGAGGAATGGACTCTTCCGGTAAACCTGAGCCCTCCACTTTCAGCGGCCAAGCTAAAATAATACTGTATCTGTTAAGAATCATTAGTTTCGGAATTGCGAGATAGAGAAGTAGGGATAAAGTTGGACCATTTCTCTAGTTTGGTTTTACTCTGGGAAGAAATAATAATGGAAGTCATTGTCAACGTTACTACATTTACTAAGAGAGCCAAATTAGTCTCCCGACCTTCACCACAAACAGTTGACGGCAAAAATATAGCCGGTAGAAATGGGAGAAAATGTACTGTTTCCGCACCACTAGATTTTTTTTTTCGTCTTAGTGTGAGAGTGGCCTTCCAGGTTAAGGTTAGGTGCTGGATGTTTTGTGCATGTGTGAAATTGAAACACATTAAAATTTCCAGTACTCTAGCATAAGCGCGCTATGTAGCTACAAGTCGTACTATGAAGAGGTAAAACATTTCTCTCCCCCAAAAGACGAAAAGATTTGAAATGGAAAAATGCTCTACTCCGAAATGATGGGGGGGGGGTAAATAAAAAATCGTAAATTTGTGATGAACAAATATGGCATTATGAAATACTAAATATTTTTAGATTAAAAAAATTAGAAAAACACTCATTATGTTCATACTGTTATGGATAATATAAGATCAATGAGTGCTAATTAAGTAAATCGAGTAAAATTATAAAAATATTGGCTTTTACTTGGGACTCACGGTGAATGGAAGCTACTCTGATAAAGCCAACTGCAAGAATTATTCTTCCATTTATTTATAATGGCACCTCAAGGTCTAGTACGAAAAAAGAGGGAAGGCAGACTTCAATAGGAAGCTTCAACATCACTATTGCTGAACGTTCACGAAAGTTGTTCTCAACGGAGCTGGTGGACGTAGCCATGTGCATGCCACGTGCTACCTGCGCCCGTCTGTGGCATCTCAGTGCAACGTGACCTTGAGATGCTATTACAAATAAATCGAAATATATCTATTGGATGATAAATAGGTTAAAATCTAAACTGTGTTGTCTATAGAGACCAGGGTGGAAAATCTTCTCTCATTTTTATAGAAGCATTTGGAGTTTAAGAGAAACTTCATAAAACATAATTTTTGAAGCACGTGTATTACCAAACGCAATAATGTATAATTACGAAAGCACGTAATATAAATATTGACATTCTGTAAGAATTTTTATGATCTAGATTTAATTTAGTTTAATGATTTTACTTTGTGTGCAATTTTTTTAAAATGTATACCCTATTTGTCACTACTTCGTTATTTATTGTTGTGTTGTATGTTCTGCCCATTTACACATAACTATGTTCAACTTAAAACTTGAAAAATCAAAATTATACCTGAAAATGGCCTTTGTCATGCCCATCAGTATATGTATCACTAAGGTGTAAAGAAAGAATTTGGGGCCGTTTTCGGGAAAATATTATTTTTAATATTTTGTATATTGCTAATATATCACTAAAATTGCGTTAAAACTTTTAATAATTTCGAAGTAATTGTGGAGAACAAATTTCATTTGACGAAAAAGTCTCTATCATCAATATTGTAGTTGAACAATGGTGTACAAGAAATGTCAAAGGTTTGCATTTTTCGAAATTTCGTGTGAAATTCGGAAATGCCGTCTTTATAAGTGCCTTTGACTCTATTCCTATCAGAAATTTAGAGAAATAATTGAGAGCAATTTTTGAGAAAATTTTGAAAATAATGAAGTACTCCTGAAATTAAAAATTTTCTTTTTCAAAATCGCAGGGCTTTCATATCAGTGGGAGAATATTTATTTAGAAAACAATCCTTCAAATAGTTTACGCGGTAGTATTTTTCAAAGACAGATGGAATGGATGCCTTATTTTATTGACAGTCGGGTGGACGATCAGACGTTTTGAAAAAATGGACTTTTTTGGTATTAAGAAACCACAAACGTGTATTCTGTTAAAACTACGTATTAGAAAAGTAATTTAATACATACAGAGGGAAGGAAATCTCTCTTTTGCGGTACCAGGAAATCACACAACTATTTTCTTCAGAGAAAAAATCGTCACAGCATTGTTCAGTTTTCTCTTAACTAGTATGAACATTATTCCGCATATACCAATATAAACGAGAAAGTAAAAATATGCCGATCTTAATCACTTCTTCCTCGGAGCCCTGCTCTGACGTCAGCTGTTTCGTAAGCGTGGGATACGGGATATGAGAATTCAGAATTCAGTACGATAATTGGCGAAATAACACAATAAATTATCGTATTTTTCAGTCAAAATCGAAACTGTTCAATTGTTTTTGGATTTTTCCCGAGTATCTGGGTATCTAACAAAATTGTGGACATACCTCCCATGTTCAGAGGTCGTTTAGTTTTTAATTTATGAGCGATTGGAAATTAGTAATTTAGATAGCTTTGTATGAAGAAGGCTAGAAATAGATAATTATTTCTCTAAATTAATTCACTACAAAATACAATAACAATACATATAATAACATTAACACAATTCTAAACTTGCAATCAAACGAATTGTGTTGTTTTTAATGTGATTCTCTAGTTGGATTATCATACTACAGAAAGACGTTAATTAAGAGCAATACCTTTTCAAAATATTGATGGTTTTAGAATGCAATCATAGACAATTTTTAAGATGTATCTTATGTCAATAAAATATTGTTAAGATATGCTCTAAAACTTTGTGGGAAACAATCATGTTTGGCATACACAAATTGAATTATTTTCTAACAAACAAATTGAATTACTTTTTGAAGATTTTAAATCTTATTTTGTGGTTATAAAAATTATAATGTAAATAAACTTTCAAATTGATACGTGCGACTTCATATTTTAAGTTTCTGAAGTGACATTAAACTACTTTAATCAGATCAGTTTTTATTTCCAAATCAATTCAAACTTTATAACTGTGTTGATTTGTCTTCTGACATAGAAAGAACAAGAGTACTTTGGTAAGTAAGTTTTGCATTCTCTGTTATATAACCACAAATTATTTAATAAAAAACTGTTTTGGCCTTTCTTCACAACTATAAAATATCTAAATTCGACGGTGTATCCAGTGAATCCAATGGAAAAATAAATAAACGGTTTACTTTCATTTGAACAATGTTTTTCAAGCATTAAACAAACATTGTTGCAAACAAATAAAATCAAAATGTAAATTAATAAAATAAAAATATTATCGAGATTCTAAATACTAAATTCAAAATACACATTAAGATAGGTGATTTTACATATTATCAATACAATTCAAAACAGTTTGTCGCAATCAAGGAGTTAGTGAAAAATGTCTCTTAAGCATTTTCCGACTTTGACAGAAATTAAATAAAAGTTAACATTGATCATGTTGGTACCCCTGGCAAAGTCTACACTTTGTAAGCTGTAAAAGGCGGTCAAAGCTCTGCGGTCAAGTAGTAGGAGAGGAGCTGCGGCAGGTACGTTTTGCAACAGGAAACATCGCGGTAGTATCTACATTTCCAACTGAAATGGAAAGCTTAAGCTGGTGGAAAAGAGTAAGTGAAAACCTCTTTTGTCTACTGCAATAATTGATTTTCATGAAAATTGAGTGTTAGCCTTTAGCCACTATTAAAGTGTTAAAAGCAGATTCTTAAGTGATTTTTGGACTTATGAGGGGAATTAACTTACCAACAAAAAAGGGGGGCAATAAACCTTCCAATAAAAGTCTGAACCATTTTTTTACCTGCAGTCTATGGAGCGAGATAAAGCACGATAGTTTGTAACACAGATAAAGATTAGGAATGCAGCAGAACCTTCTAAAAGCATATTTTTCCTATTCTAAAATATCTTGAAGAGCAAGCCATTGGACAAGCAACGACGAGGTTCAATCCAAAGTCTTTAAATCTTTGGTCGTGTCACTTGCAGGTGTATTTCTAGTATGTACTTTCAAGGAAGTGGGTAAAAAATAAATCTTGGATTATTAGAGCTCCTGCGTGGAATGGTTTGTGGTATTCAGAACATTCACATTGCTTAGTTGTAGCAAAGATTTTGAATTTATTTCATTACTGTTTACCTAAAATATGAAAATATGAAGCATGTTAAATGTAATACTGAGGAACTTTCTAGAAATCTGTAAAAATGCTCTCAAGGAAATAACCTGAAAACGTAATATTACTTTGTAAATTATAAATTAATTTAAAATTATACATTATAAATTATAAATTGCAAATTGCGGTAGAATTATATAACGTAATTTGTAATAAACTTTCAATGAGCGAGTCTAATGTTCTTAGCCGTCATTAACATTTTATTATCAATATTTATACGGCAACTGGATTCTAAAGGCTGTAATGCTGCGCGATGCTTTCCGCAAACTTAAATGCCATACCTAAATTTTCAAAGACTACTTGGAGTATTTTCTATTGGTTTTATATGTGGATTTTTGTGTGTGGATTCCCACACATCTGTGCAACAATTTGTTTAATGCATTACGTGATGGAGATTAAGTATCTTTGTTGGTGTACAAGGAGTTGGTCGAAAAGGGCTCGGACCGTGATGCTGTGCAGAAGAACAAAGAGATTTTAGCCGATAGCTTGTAGAAACAATATTGTTTTGTTACGATTTCACCCTTCCCACGTCTGAAGTTACAGTGAACTGCCCACTCGTTTCAAGAGTATTTAAAACAATAGCAGGGAGAGGTGTTAGACGATCCGCATCACCGCCCCGTAGGTGAACGGAACGTCCGTTAGCTAGTAATGTGTTTGTTCTTAGTCACCGGTTTGTTCTTAGTCACATGGGTGGCCAAGGGTTCACTTGACCCAAAGTCCGGTGATCTGTCTCTGGGGTTCATATGTTTGTTTGAAAATGATACTGAGATGGCTAGCGGCTTCGGCACTGTCGTCAAAAGGTCAGCCTATTTCTGTGAAAGTGACTCTTAGACTTTTTTAAGGTTTCCACGACCGTATGAAGAATATCAAACTAAAATTCAACGACAAATATCAGGAGTTTCGAAGTTATGTTCTAAAATTTTCTTGAGTGTGAATATTGTCAATATTTAAATTAAATTAATATATGATTTTCCTTTTATTGATGTTCGTTCATAAAGTTAATAATGTTTTATGACTTCGTCTCAGACTTAAATGATGTGAATTCTGGAATGAAAACATTTTGACTTGATTCCTCAAATAGTATGAGCAACAAAGTTAACTGTCGTCTATTAAAAAAACTAATCTTTTCAAAATTTGGAATCCTGTCTTTGGCCTGTGCCACACGAGCGTTATTTTGAAGCGACTTAGAGATTAGCGTCGTAGCCCGTAGAGGCGTATTCATAGTCGACACTTATACGATAAGTAAACGCTTAAGTACTAAGTAATTACTTATAATAAGTGAACTCGTGACAGTTTCGTATTTATAGACCCCCACTTGTTCGAGAGTTGCATATCAGGCAATATTTCGCTTCGTAATACTCGGCAACATTGGTCTATTGGTTACTTGTTACGAATCTAGAAGACCGTTTACAATTTTGGTGGTTCTTTTAAGCGAATGAATAGCATCTGGTTTCATCTACAGACTATCAACAGAAACTAAATTGTAAATTTCGTTTCGTTGCTTCGATGCGTTTAGTTCGTGCGGATAATTTATATTGATAAACTTTTTCCGATTTTGCGTGATTAGTAAGTATAATTATTGGCGTACGATATTTGTACAACACATATACGGAATTGTATGAACTTTTTAATATTTATTGATACCACTTCAGATATTTCTGAAATTATTCTACAAACTTAGGGCTGACTTATTCTATAGAGTTCTGCACATATCAATTGAAAAAGGTAAAAAGAAACACTTTTCACATGATGCATTGTGATCATCGTTGTAAGATAACCAATTACACACGGTCCTCGTAGGTTACCTACAAAATGCGCCACCAGTGGTCTGCAATTGTAATCAATAAATTACTGAAATGAATCAATAAACTGAATGAAATTAAAAGAAATCAATAAACTGAAATGATACTGTTGCATAAAATCTGTGGGACATTAGCATTTTTAGGACTGGTGATATTGATTTTTCTCTATTATTCAATACCACGTTATGGGTGAGATAACAGATACACTCATGTTTGGAACCGTATACTTGTCAAAACGATATCTCTTCTTAAATTCTTATTGTATAGACATTTCCAAAGGATTTTCCTTGACTCTCAAATATCGTTTTGGTAGTTCTTCCGTTTGGAAGTTGTTCCATGTTGATATCAATAATTCCAACAACTCATAAAAATCTTTATGTTATTCCACATTGAAAAGGGGTTAAGGGTCCACTTAAGGGTACAGATAAGCTCACTTATAAGAATAAGTGAATGCTTAATTAAACACTTAAGTGTTGCTCAAAAATATGACGACTATGAATGCGGTCGTATTTCGTTTATGGAAATGCACACGGCGCTTTATCGTGACGTCCGTTGTAGCTTGAGCTGTGGGCAGTAGCGTCTCAACACACGTGACTGTATCAACGCGCGTTGAACGGATGCTTGGAGGCCGTACTTGAGTGGAAGGAAATATTTATTCTGATTTATTTAATGATTACTTAGAGATGGGCATTGATGCTGGAATTCTGACTCAATTTAGTTTGAAGTGAAACTTATTCATTGATCCTTCTGATATTCGAAAATATAATCAAATATTTCTCCCTGTCTTATCGCAGCTTATTGAAGAGAACGTAATAATCACCCTGAGAGAGTTTCTCACTATTAATTGGGTGCATCCAGTATCTCCTGAACGTTTCCCTTTTTATTAACATTTTCAGCACCAAATAATCTATTATAGCAGTTTCGACGTCGTCCGTGTTTTGCTAGGAGTAGCACCGGAGACGCGCGGTAAACAAAATCGTGGGTGCAGCCATCGCTCATCGACGCAGCTGACGTCATCATCCTTAAGTGACGCGCGTCAAAACAACGCTCGTGTGTCTGCGGCCTTAAAGCCACAATATCCTAGAATGTTTTTTTGTTTAAAATACAAGAAAAGCTCTTGGCATCGATAATCTCCATGACATATCTAAACGTTTCCAGACTAAAAAATCGAATGTAAATTATCATGAAAATGATTGTCATTTGTTTATTTAAAATGTTAATGGTGAAATAAGTGTTAAATAAATTAAATGTTAACAAGATAGTAGCTTTTTTGCGTCCTTGTACAGATTGTGTCGTGGGTCGCCCCTCGCGCGCCCGTCGCCCTGACGAAAGAGACCTTGCTGGAGGCGGCCCAAAATGGCGACGCCGTTTTGGTGAAAACTCTTCTGGCGCTGGGCATCGAGCCCGACGAGGTCCGCACGCGCCACGGGGAGTCGGCGCTGTGGTTGGCGGCGCAACGCGGTCGCGTGGACGTCGCCCTGGTGCTGCTGGAAGCAGGCGCCGACCCTTGCATGCAGGACGTCACGGGCGACACCCCGCTCATCCGGGCCGCTGTCAACGGCCACCACGCCATAATCAAGCACATGGCGACTGAGTGGCCGGATGTGGTGAGCACGCTACCCCCGTGATGCTCCCGTTTATCCGACTGATTACTGATTCCGAGGGCGTCCGCTACCAAGGTCATTAGTCCCGTAAATGTAGTGTATGTTATCGTGGCAGGTGAAGGTGATCTTCCCCTGGTAGAGGGCGAGATCCGGTGCCGTCCCACCCGTGGGCTTGTGGGTTTTTTCCCAACCAACTAGGTATCTCCCACCATCTGGGCACCACCCCAGTCGGGATAAGCTCTAATCTCTGGGTTAATGTATGGTAATGTAGTGTGTGTGTGTGTGAGTGTGTGTGAGTGTAGAGGATATGATAAGAAAGGAGAAGAAAATACCACGCGAGGACTGTGGCCCGTTTGTTAGGGTACTCATCCGTCATTCGCCAGGTGTTGATCGGAGAAACGTCGGAAAACTACCGATCAGAGTAGCCGGCTGCTAAAATTTTCCTTCCGTCTATCAGGGAGGTCGAAATTGTTTAGGATTGACTAATAAGGCACATCGTTAAAAAAGGCATGGGCTACATAGTGGTAGTGATACGAAAGTTTGGCTAGTTGAGGTAATTATATTATATTTTTTGTTTAAAGTCGCTTTTATGTTGTAAACTTTAATTTCAAAGTGAGAAAGGCACAAGGCTTCAAATTTTCATTTAATTACTTTTTACATGTAAAGTAATACATCTCGGCCCAGCAAATGCCGGATTTTTAGTGCATTTTACGCCAAAAAGAGTGTACGGCTTTGTTTATCTTTTCTTATCGTAGTACTGAATAAATTACTCCTTAAACGAAATGGAAACTCGCTTTTACACATTGGTTGTATGCTAAAGTTTTCGTGCTGACGCGTTTAAAGTTGAAGTTAACAAACTTATTTTTTTACAACATAAGTTTTGTCTTTAACACTCCAGTAATTTTTGAATGATTAAAGATATTGCAATGCGGTTTCCTCATTCGCATGTGGGTAAATGTGCTTCCGACAATGTGTATTGTTTTGCGTTTATACCATTTATACTTTTTGAGAAATTTGATTAAAATGATAAAATGGTTAAAGATTTGATAATAATGTACATACTGTTGTGTATAACACATTCATGATATACATATTACACAATAATTTTTCAGTAATGTGAAATACAATATGCCCAATCTAAATTAACTCTTGGCATCGTGATGTTTCATAAACAATAATGCCCCAGTGTGCCAAGTAATTTTCGGAACTGAGTAGAAAGTGTTAAACGAGTGCTAATGTTTCCCTCCCACATCACCTAGTTAGAAAAATACCCTTCTTGTTTGTGTAATAAGTAATTTCGCAATTCTGATAAGATGGCAAAACGATATTACTGCAGTTTCACGAGGTTTATAAATACAGCTTTAACGTTATAGTTTCTTACATATTTTTTGCGGTGGTGCTTCATTGTTACTCACCAACATTTTATTATCTTCTATACATTCACTTTATGGTCTAATACGCTGTCTCACTAACTCTTTGTAAGTGTTAAGTGTTCTTAAATGTAAAGTTTATTCAATAATCCCTCTGGACGCAATCATAAAGCGGAAAATTTTTTCAGACTCGAATGCCAGTTATCAAAATTTACACTTGTTACTACATAATGAGGGTAGATTAGTCCACTAATGACCTTAACCATTATATATCATAACATTTTGACATTTAAGATTTATTTCTTAAAAGCTATATATCACAACTACAAACGAACTCAATCAACATTCTAAACATTTTTTAATATTTTAACTACATCGAATCATCTAGTAGAAATTGTATGTTTTTTATACTTTAAATATTTTTTATACATTATTTTAAAATAAGTGTATGAATTTTGCCAAATTTGTGTACATAAATGTAAAATGTGTATAAAAATGTAATGGAATTGTTCAGTATTTTAATGAAATGGATTTGTAACGTTAAATTTTGTGAAATTTATGGGGAGTGCGAAGTCCTCTGGATTTATAATCTGTCTTGTGCAATGTCATTCAGCAAGTTACTGCAACGTCTACTAAGATACTACTACCAGTAATAATAATGATAGTGACTATAATAATAGTAATAGTAATAATAATAATAATAATAATAATAATAATAATAATCATCATCATCATCATCAAATGAACCACGGCCGATCAGATGGCCAAGATCGCTAAGGCGTACCGGTCTCAGACCAGAAGATCGTTTGTTCTATCGTGTCTCGGGCATGGGTGTATTTGTGTATGTCTGTATGGATATCCTTTCAGTCCTCAATGTCAGCATCATTAGAATGTGTAAGCCAGAACGGTATAATTAACATTTTATGAATTCTGAGAAAATCCTAATTATTTTAGACTATAATTTCAGTGGCAGTATATTTTCATGGTTTTAATGAATTGAAATGACGTGGTTTTAATGTTGTAACAAAGTATAACGTCTTTAGAGTAACATTGACCCTAATTTATAAAGTGTCATTTATATCGTTATGGTTTTCAGCCATTCATTTCATCTTTCGGACACCCAGGGCTCCATGGGAGATAAAAATCTGATCCAGATATTCAGCTCATTCCCTAATATAAAGTTTTATGCACCTACCACATAGATAATGGTACTGAGCCACGATAAATGCAGGTTGCTTATCCGCGTGATCCATGCCGGCCTTTTTGCGATAAAAGAAATGAATTCGTGAGGAGAGAAAGGGAAAGAAATGAACCACAAAAATTCACCATTAAGCATCCGAGGACTGCGTTAACGCCCCAGAAGCGTTGGATCTTCCCTCTTGTGTTGAGTTCTGAGTCTCTTCGAGTTTGTTCCTTCCTTCTTTGTCTAACATATTTTGTCCTCTGATTCCGAACAGATTAAATTTTTTAAACTACTCAAAATACTTAAAAATTAAAGATGGTGTGGAACTGCCTCGTTCAAAACATCTAATAAATTAAAACATAAATTTAGGGCTTCTACAAATTCTTAAACGATTGATTTACCAAATGGAATTATAATGCATTGTGAACGCATAAAAAATAAATGGAAAAAAGTTTAGGGGACTAACGCTGTGCCAACCTCTTTAAAGTGGAAGTTCACTAATAACTATTTTGAAAGGCAGATGAGCTATAGACGGTACGTAGATTTTTTCTTGCTGCCTAAATTGTTTTAAATGTGGGAAATTGTTTTTCTGTGAAATGTTGAAATTTACCTTTTTCTATATTGTCATGTAAACTGATAAGACAAAGTTAAAATATTAATATTTTGCATGTAAGCTCGGAAAGAAAAATCGTTCGACTTAGCGAGATTGTATAAGAGGTTATAATGATCTCTGTCAATATACATAAAATCTAACAAGAAGAAAGAAATGTTTCAGAATTGCTGCAAAGTAAATCTTGCTTCATAGAATTTCATAAATGGTCCCCATAGGTGTAACCTGTTGAGATTTTTTTCTCCTTCAGATCGGCTTAGGTGACTTAGGACATCAGTTGATGCCAATGCTATTCCTCTAACCGGGAGGTTCTAGGGTTTGAACCCCAACGGTGGCAGGATTACCTACCTACAAAAGTAGGTCGCATTCAGTCGCTGTTTCCGATCAATGCCAGGCCAATGCTGGGGCAGTACTCTAATAAAGGGCTGAGGACCGCACGCAATCTTTACTTACTCTTACTTGTCATATCTCTTACACACGCTTAAATCGTACACCCTCTCCACTAGCACACACGACGGGAGTCCAGTCAGGAGCTTAGATCTTATCCCGGCTGGGGCGGTGCCCCGCTAGTGAGAGATAACTGGTTGGGGAAAACCCCGCCAGTTGAAGGGTAGTTCAGCGCCGAATGTCGCTATCCTGCAGGGGAAGACTACCGCTACCTCCCGCGATAAAAGCATCCAATACACTAAGGAGACTATCAGTGACCTTAGCCGTTGGTGCCCCCGGAATCGCTAATCAATGAATCAATGAATCAATGAATCAATGAATCAATGATTCAATGAATCCGTGAATCAATGAACCAATGAATCTATGATTCAATGAATCCGTGAATCAATGAACCAATGAATCAATGAATTAACGAATCAACGAATCAATGAATCAATTGTCCTTCAGTTCCACACGGAGTCGGCGGCGCTGGCCCTCCGGCAAGCGGCCCTGCATAGCCGGCCGCGGGCCGTGCGCGCGCTCCTGGAGGGCGGCACCTCGGCCGCCGCCCGCGCGCGCAGGTGCCTCCCCGCGCCCTTCGCCGCCGCCGCCACCGACGCCGCCTGCCTCGCGGAGCTCCTCCACAACGGCGCGGACCCGCACGAGGTAAACTCCTCGAGGTCGGCTTCCTCGCAACATTGCATGGCTTTTATTTTGTACTGATATTGACTTAGCTTGTTATTGCCTTCGGTATGGAACTCGATCTGCATCGACATCTTACCTGGATCACAATGACCATGGTAACGAAAGAAATAAGAAAACAGTAAAATGATACTACATATTCCTTTATGAAGGGAAGCACGGCCCTATAACTCCCATATAACGTGGTGGGGGCATTACAGTGGCGCGCTCTAGAGCATCGCCTTCTTACACGAACTAAAATACGAACTGCTACCAACGTCATTTAAACCGCGCGGGGACGCAAACACACGCGCTTGATAGAAAAGATCGCGCCGCTGTTCGCGCTACCTTTTCTTTCACGCGTGTATTATTACGAATAAATGAATTTTAGAAGATGAACACGTAGTATTTAACTTCTTTTGTAATTTATTTCAGAAATCGCTCATAATTAATGTGTATTCGTATTTCTTGACCAATTTGTATGAGCGAAAGTTGGCGAGCCGTACCAGCAGCTGAATCCAGCGACACTAGCGCATCCTATAGTAGCAACCCATAGCTTTTGTCCCCAATGTTGATGGAGAGTTGCGGGGTCCAAGGGAAGTATGAGATGGAATTATGAAAGGGAATTATATATATTATAAAACTCATAGTAAGTTTCTCAGAAGTATACTAAGTTTTCAACTGATGGTAAGGGTTTTCGTATATTTCTTAGATTTTTTGGGTAATAAATTAGATAATGCAGCTTTCGCAGATTCGAACAACTCTTGTGGAAAGTCAACATTGCTTTTGACTATTTTTAATTCAGTAATTATAACACACGATATACCAATAGTACACTTGAAACTCATATGAAAGAAAAATGCCCTTTGTCGCAAAATTAGGATCTCCTGTTATACAAACGTGGAAGGAAGATGAGGGTTCCTTTCAAATACACCTCGAAGAATAGACATGAAACAAATCATTATTCATAATAGGAGCATTTTAATACGATCATAGTAAAAATGTTAAATTTCGTGAGTGAAGGTAATGTTTTTTGTTGGATTTCGATTGAGAGTTTTTTATTCGACCTATTTGTTTCTGCAAAACTATCTCAATCTCGATGTGCAAAAAACAATTACTTCACAATAACTGCACTCACATTACGCGAAGATTGGTTTCAAACATTGATAGATTCGAGGATAATCTCAAGTTCAGAAATTAGTGCTATTTAAATCATTTATACATTACTTTAATCTGTGTATTTTAAATTATAAACCGTTCGAAAATAAACTAGAAAGTTTTGCTAGTCTTCTTACTAGAGACTTTAAATTGAAGCTGGTTAGGTTTTTATAATAATAATAATAATAATAAAAATAATGTCATTCATTAAGAATGTTACTGCAAATCCAAAATTGTGATATTGAAATGTATTTATACTTTCTAAATTATCAATTCTTGTAAGTTGAAAGAAACGAGCAACGGCTCTTCTGGTAGCGGCGAATTCTCACTTCCGTCCCCCGCAGTTTCACCCTTGTACTTCGCTACACATGAATATTACGTTTCATTTGTAAGACAATCAAGACAATTTACACCCCGCAACTCAGAGGTATGACAATTATTAGACTCGAAAAGAGATGATTGAAGAATATTTAGTTTCGTTCCATTTGGAGCCCGGGTGGTGAAATATCATGTTAGCTCAGGTTATTGGCAGGTTATTTATTATGAGAATCACCATGTATCAGCACTAATTTAAAATTTATATAAATACAAATTTTACATTGGTTGCATCAATGGTTTCCTAACGGAGGTTTTATCTTTATGTATGATGAAGAATGAAACTAAACCAAGTCAATACAAAAATTATTGAAGTGAATTCATTGTCATGATCTGAAAAAACGAGATAGAACAGTATAAAATATCTGTAGTAATGTATCAATTAAAAATCGAAAGCATTTGAAATTACAACTGCGAACAACAATTTAATCAGTTTAGTGAAATGTGGCTTGTTTATTAAAACGTAATAAAATGTACATTGCTCGTAGTAAGGTTACGAAAACATGTCGAACAGTGCTGTTTTAGTGAATTCACAAAGCAATAATTTTTATTTAAAAAATTGAAAATGTTCACTCCTTAAGAAATAACAAATGATAATATCACTAACAAGAACTGATCATTTTAATTTTAGTCATATTTTTAGTCTAACCAAAGATCCCCTCCCACCTATGAGCCCTGCAATACCTCTCTTAACATCCATCATTAGTTATACCTATCATTAGTTGAACTCCATTTCTTCACAGCAGACCCAAGCAAAATACACGAGTATACTAGCAAGAGCAATAACTAACCCTAACATCAGAGAATTATCAAAAAAAGTACTACAATTCTGAAAAACAAATATCATAAATGAAATATAACCAGACTAAATATATTTCAAATTTGTACAATTGCAACTTTGTATTTAACAATGTATGTTTAATTTGTGCTAAGTGTAATTTGTCTGTACTAATTTGTTTAAGTACTGTTTTATAACCGATGGAAGTGTAATTTATTTATAAGTAGTTGCTAAGAACCATACGCCGATGTTGAGGTGACTTAAAATAAATGTATTTAAAAACAATAATAAGTTGTATTAAAACGCACAAAGAGAGGAACACAAAATATGTACTTGTTTGGAAAATCTGTTCTTCAGACTAACCGACTAACTCAGACTAAGTCAGAATTTCCACACGTCTGTAATTGCCACTCTCGCCATTTATTACATAGACTGATTTTCATCCCTTTCTTCTCTAGGTAGACGAAGAGGGGCGAACCGCACTGCACTACGCGGCCATTGCCAATAAACCAGAATGCGTCACTCTGCTGCTGGTGAGCGGGGCAGACCGCTTCGCGAAAGACAATGCTGGTCAAACACCCATAGACTTGGCCGTAACCGATAAAGTGCGCCACTTGCTCCTCACCGCTCCGTACCACGTGATCGCGCACTCTGCAGACTCCTCCAACTCCGGCGAAATGATTCCGCTCCAGCTGCTGCGATTCGATTTCATTCCCCCCCAACGCAACGGAATGATCGAGTCGTGAGGTGGTCGACCACGAAGAAGGCTGGCTCGCCACGGTTGTAAATCTGTCGCATTCTTCCCAGGATGGTGCAAGAAGCAAATGGCAGAAGCGACTGATTTAACCAGCTTAACACAGGCTCGCTTGGGTTTACACAATGTATTAATCTGTCGAAGAGGAACGGTAAATTTGCCTTGACTGAGTGTATTCATCGCACTCTTCAAACTACTATACACAACGTTGTAATTGTCAATTTTACATAAAAACTTGACAGTTGGATTTCTCATTCCGAAATAAAGTAACTTATAGGCACTGTTCTTGTTTGGGCTATGGCTTAATGTACGTGTGTATTTTCTGCGATTTTTTTTCGATTTTACTACTGTATTGGTTTTTAAATATTGTGTAACGCTTTTGTTTCAGGTACTTCCTTTTTCAGAAAAGTGTTGCTTTTGTACGACAAGTTCATACTTTGAATGTTTGAAGTTTCCTGTTAAATTTGCAAAGGAATCATGAACTTCACAAATTTCATATGTCCACTGTTCTAAAAATATTTTTTTATTGCCGGACGCTACTGACACATATTAAGTATCGCACGTGTCGTTCAATAATAGTTGTAATTGTACTCCTGTTGTTTAAATTCCATTAAAGTTGAGAAATGGACATAACGTCTATTATGTCTGTTGTATTGTCCTGTATTGAGTATCAGCAGCAATTGTGCTCGCTGCTTTATCTAAAAAGTATGAAAGAAATGTTTTTCAGATTCTAGCTATTAAATAAACTGTTATTTATATTTTTTGTTTGGAGATTTTGTTTGAATCAAAAGTTAAGAAAGATTCAAACTACATTCTCTGAAGTAAAACATTTCATATGAAACAATAAAATATTATATTTCCAGTTTCCATTGCTAAAAGAAAGTGGCAGTAGCAAAACTATTCGGCCACACAAATACCAAGGTTTTTTAATCTTCTGGATCTCACAATCTTAATTGAACGACTTCGACCACAAAAGATTTATGTGCACTAGATTTGATATTGAGAATGTTGAGTTCAACTACAGAATATGCTATGTAAGGTATTTTCTTTCCATCAATGGAACGCAGTAACTGTTGGAGTAATTTGTATTCATTTTGATCACGAAATAAAATACAGATTTTTCTTTATACTTTTATTCAAACTCAAAATTTGCCAAAAAAGCACTTATCCGTTTTTGCTCTGGACATCTCAATTTAATTACCGGAGTAATTTGACTTGCCCTCTCCTTACTATTTCTCACTCTATTATTCACTCAAATATTTCTTCAAACTTAACTTCACTTGCTTACACTGACATACTTCTTGGCGTATGTCGTAAAAACACATACGCGTATGTCCAACATTCACATGTTTTTAACTTTTGCAAGTAGTGGTTATATCTAAGTACTATCTACATAACATAACAAGATGAGAAATAATATTAAGCTTAAAAATATTTGTTCATGGTGGGGGGAATTATTCCGTGGGTTAGTTGCAACTCTGCGAACCCTTTCAATTGTGGAAAGTCATGCAATCAAAATTCAGCACGTATGTCTGCCATGTGTATCTGTCTTTCGAGCATGTGTTGAAAATACCGTACATGTACAAGAAAAAGACGCACATCTACTAGAACGGGATGATATTCAAAAATATTTCTTTCCAGGATAACCTCAAGGTGTTAACTAATTTGTACCATCGTTGCCGGTCAACTAACACGTTTTTGAATAGTGTTTGTTTGTTTGAAGATTAATGAGACCTAGTGACGCCAAGCGAACGTCACGCGTCGGAAGCTAAATATCACGTGTTATCTTGACTTAAGAGGTTACTTGATCTGTGCTTGCTTGAGCGTCCTGTTTGAGCTGTGGCCCCAACGCACGTCTCCGTTTCGCTTAAGATACAGTGTTAATCCACGACGCGCGTTAAGTGAAGCGTGTGTGCACGCATCGACGCGCGTCGATGCACTGACTTCATTAGCGTTAAGTGACGCGCGTCAACGCAACGCTCGAGTGACACAGACCTAAAGAACACCTTCCCGCAGTTCCATCCGGCAGATCAGAGCGCTGGGAGTGGTAACCATACTCCAGCATACGCAATTCGTCGAGGGGGGGGGACAAGGGATAATAGAGGGAAATCGAAAAGCAGTTTCTCTTAGTATGCCCCTTTATTATAATTGGCCAAACTTGTATGGTCAGTTGTACATTAAGAGGCATTTCATTTTCTTCACCTGACGAGTCCTCGCTGTCATTCAAGTAACGTGGGTGACGTTACAGAAATATGCAAAAATCATTTGCGAGCATGCGAGGAATTATGTGGGGATCATAAAAGCAAACACGCGGGGTAGTGTGAGTTACGTGTCTTAAGCCGCATTCTACGACATGAATTCTTCATGAATCTTCATTTAATTTTTGGGAATTTAGCACATGTGAATAGCCCACTTTCTGGGGCGGGTGATAAGGAACTTGAAGAATTTGTAAAATAAATGTCAGAGTGAACTATTTCTTATTTGTTGCTATTCATTGCCCTGATCTAAGCTTTTCAGTTTGTTAATAACCACTTAGCAATATTGAAATTTTTTACCCACGCACAATGCCGGGTTCTATACGATGATCACTTACGGCCTAGTAGTTCCAGCCTTAATTCTAATATTAAGCTGATTTTATTTTCTCACCAATGATTTACAAAGTTCGGAATGTTCACACCTGTCAGCTAATACTTTAAAAGGAGTTTATGCACACATGAATCAAATAAAAAAAACTGAAATTTATAAATAAAGTATCCATTATGATTCCTAAAAACATTGTAAACAAAAATCAATCCGCCGATAGCTAAGATCGTTAAGGTAGTTATACCGTAGCGTTCTCGGCCCGATAGATCGCTGGTTCGAGTCCCGGCTCGGGCATGGTTGTATTTGTGTTCGTTTTTCACCTTCACCCTCTCTTATTACCATTATGTTTTAAGGTTTTTTGTGTCATCTTCACAGTTATGCACACCGTTATGCAATAGTGGTCGTTAATGACCTAGATGTTGTTGGGACCTTAAACAACAACAAAATTAACGAGTCCATTATATTACTTGATAAGATTACAAAAACACTGTTCTAATATTAATCATTTTGTGTAATCAATATGGCAAATAGAATCATAATGAAAGTCAGAATTCCATAACTTAGAAAAAGGAAGTTGTCCAGAGGATCAGTAAAGAAAAATATTCCATCACTCCATTTGCCTAAGAAGGTAATAATTTAATGGTAATGTAATATTCTAAGAGGATATTCAGAGTTTCGTTTTAATTTTTGAGTAATTAAACATTTCAGCGATATGAATGCAACTGGCACATTAAAACATAAGGTTAAAATATGTATTTCTGATGAATATAGTATTTAAATAGCTGAAATGTAAAATAATGTATTGATACACCATTCTTTAAAATTCTCAACAATTTTTATATTTAAAAATCATCAATTTTTTTCATGCAATTATTATTTATTGTGACTTACACAATTTTACTCTTTGATTTTGTAAGAAAAGAGGAATTTTTAACGAAAATATTTTCAGTATTATTGTTCTGCATACAAAAATATTAGCATTAATAATAATAATGATATTAATATTAATAAAACTTATTTGTGAATAAAAATATCTTTTATAAATTAAATACAATTTTGCTGTTATATATTAAGAATGTTTCAAAATTATTTAATTATATAATATCATAAATCAGAAAATTAGTTTTGTAGTAAATAATATCTTAATCCGTGTACCATGTTATATGGTAACAATTATGACTGTGGCATATAAAAAAACATTTTGTATCTTAAATTTATAATATTACGAGAAATATTAACATGCACTGAAAAATTAGGAGAAACAAGATGTCAAAACAAGTGGTGAGTTTTATTTAATCTTTAATTAAATATTTAATCTAAAGTGTACTTTTTGTTATTTGAGATTAAATTTCTCAAAAACCTTCTAAAACTCTTCCAACACATGTTAAAAAACCGTCACTTGTTTTCAATAAGCTTAACTTAATATTTCGCACACTTGATAATAGTACCTCGTAGTTTGTAATTCCGCCAAATCGCAATGGAAGTGTTGCCAGTACACGTTAACGAAACTTGCAGTTAAGAGCAAATTTTTCGATATTTGTATCGAGTCTGTATTTACATTGCTGTTATAGTGTCTTGTCATTTATAAAGTTTTTAAATCTGGAATGGGGATTGTAGTAGTTGGTGAGTAAGAACTCTGAAAGACAGAAATGTGCGAGATTAAAGTTAAAGAAGTGAAATATAAAAAAAGTACACTGAATATGGCCGTATTTCAGTAGGAAAATAAAATGCAATGTGGTCACGGTGGCATCCTTGCAATGTTCAATCATAGGTTGAGGAAGGAGGGTGACTCTCAGTCTAATAGCGGGTGAGCAGATAGGTGAGCCAGTCTTCTGAAAAATAAATTTAAGCAGCTCCAGGCCTTACCAGTATTCATCATGGAATCTTACGGCTTGTGGAGAAGGGTAAGTTAAATTAAACTTTCAATACATTACCTTCGCGTGAAATACAAAGAAAAGTGCAAGACCTTACTGTCTAATTAAAATCTCCCTTGAAATTATGAAGAACTTGTGTAAGATTCAAATCCGTGAACTTGTTTCATTTAAATATGTTGATTACAATAATGGCAGTTAGCTATCCAATAACCAGTCAAGCGATCAAGAGTGTTCTGTAGTAGTTACCTTGTGATAAGGCAAACTGCACATGGGAGTGGAGTTCTATGGTACCATACTACGACTGATTCCATATCTTCATTCTTTCATCTTAACGTGATATACACTTTGCAGTATTCGTGATTAAATCCTGTAAACAGTTCTGATCTATCACTAAAGTTATTTATCTGAATGAAAGTTCTTTCGAGAAAAATATTCAGAATCTAGAATAAAATTTCAATAATGAATCATTTAGTCGATAGATTTGACAAAATCCAATATAATTGATTGAAAATGACTTTTCTACATTCTAAAATCCTTGACCTTCCAGATCGAACTAATTAAGATACTGTGTACAAGTTTACAAAATTTTCGCAATTCTCTTTTAAAGCTCTGTATTAGTTAAGTGGGAATATTTGGAGTCTTATATTCATTTGTTCCTACCATGTAAGCGTTTCTGACAGTTTTGTAAAAGTTTGACCTGTCTTACATTTTGCAGAAATGCACATTGCACGAGACTCGTAAGAATGTGAGTAAGATGAACTTTAACTGAATTTAGGACTTATTTTTTAATTCAATGAAAACTTTGTTTAAAAAAGTTATTCTAGACCGGTCATCGTGTTTATAAATATTCCTTCAAAATCATTTGCAATATATCAAAACAGCCGAACTGGCTTATGTTTTCAAAACTAGTTCTGTGAGTTCTTGGGCATTGTGTGTAATCAGTGACGTATTTGTATAAAGAAAATGTATAATTTAGCTGTTGTATGCATTTCGTGTTATAGTGCATTTGAGAATTATACGAGGTTGAATCCAGGAA